TTTTCCCTGTCCCTCCCCTACACTCTCTGTGTTATTAAGAATTTTGATTTTACTAACTTACCATAGTTAAAAGTTTCTATCACTTACAATTAATTTCTCTTTTTCTAATATTCTATTTTGTGACATTCATGTATACAAATTTCCCCCTCTTCCTCTCATCCCTCCAACCTGTCCCATGACCCTTCTCAAATTCTTTCTCAAAAAATAAAGAGAGAAAACATGGCTTCTACTTGATGCCTATGCTCCACAGGACCATTTGCAGGCTCTGTTTTGTTTGATCGTCATTATTAGCTAAAAAACATTATGTTGATTTAATAAACTTGGTTGCAGAAGACTTAAAAGGAAAATGAAAATTAGTCCACTCCAAAACATTCAGCAAATTAGAAGGAGGCCTTAAGTCCATGGCAAGATATCAGTGACTGTCCTCTCCTTTTGATGTTACCTGTGTCTCTAATTCTGTTGTCTACAGTGCTGTGACTTATTTTTTTTATTTCTAGTTATCATTATATCTTTGTAGAGTTATATAAAGTAACAGGATATTTAAAGCATACAAATTACCTTGTAATACAATCTGAAGTATTTGTGAAAAACCACAACGTGGTTCTGACTGGAGGTGTTTGTTCTAAACCTTTAACGCTTATATTTATATTAAGTGCCCTTTACAATCGCTATTAAACATGTTCTAGAAAGAAACCTGTGGAAAGATATCTAAAAGCTGACTGTCCGCATTTCTCATCCTCTAAACTTAAACTGCACTCATTTGCTCCATCTGAAAAATTAGTGATACACGTGCACTCAACTTCTTACCTTCCCTGTTTTGGCTGTGGACTATACCCTGTGAGTGTGCATGAGGCATGGACTATACCCTGTGAGTGTGCACGAGGCATGGACTATACCCTGTGAGTGTGCACGAGGCATGGACTATACCCTGTGAGTGTGCATGAGGCATGGACTATACCCTGTGAGTGTGCACGAGGCATGGACTATACCCTGTGAGTGTGCACAAGGCATGGACTATACCCTGTGAGTGTGCATGAGGCATGGACTATACCCTGTGAGTGTGCATGAAGCATGGAAGTGACTTAGGATGGAGCCTTTAAGTGATAAAAGTCCAGTACTTTAAGATTAAACGATTTACCTGAAGAGTTCCTGGGCCTCTCTGTGCACTCCAGTCTTTGATATAAAGACTGATTTTCCTTTTGCTTTCTTTCAAGTCTTCACCTAAATACTCATTAAGGCCCAGCTATATGGCTTGGCACAAAAAAGCTCTTGCTGCTTAGGCCTAGTGACCTGAGTTTGATCCTTATAATCCACATAAGACTGGAAGGGAAGAACTGGCTCTACAAAATGGTGCTCTCATTTCCATATACACACTGTGACTCGTTCCTGCACACACACACACACACACACACACATACACACGCACGCACTCACGCACAAATTAAAATGTTTTTCTATACAGAGAATGTCAAGTCCATAAAGAATATCTTGATTGCACAAATTTTCTCTCTCACTTACGGTGTGTATTTTGCTGTTTACGTATTCTAAGTAATATTGCACTTTTACTGAGACGCTGCAGTAATATTGTGCTCTTACTGAGATGCTGCATATTTGTATCTTTTTGAATCAATGCACAGGTTTTATTTTCTGTACTCACACAAAGTTAAACTTCTGCATGTTGCATGTTTAGAAAAAATAAGGCACTGCCCTGAAAATATATAATTTAGCATATAATTGACATGCTTCAAATTGAATCCTCTTAAATCTGACACCATGGATAGCTGAAACATTCTAGCTTTAATTGTGTTTAAATGTGCATTTGTGTGTGTGTGTGTGTGTGTATTGTGCATTTGTGTGTGTGTGTGTATTTGTGTGTGAATGAAAAGGCATGTGAAAATTAATCAGCCTTAGGAGTCATTCCTCAGAAGTCATCTACCTTGTTGGGTTTGTTGTTGTTGTTTTGTTTTGTTTTGTTTTGTTTTGTTTTAAGTATTTCTTTGATTATTAGTTTTTCTTGAGACAAGTCAGACACTGGAATCTGAGACTTACAGGTTCACCAAGGATGGCCAGCATAAAAGTCTCAGGCATTTTCTCGTCTCTGCTTCCCCAGGACTGGAAATACATTAAGTTACCATCACAGCTAGGTTTCTTCTATATTGGTATTCGAGGTAGAACTCAGGTCCTTGAAACTGCACAGGAAACACTTTGCTGACTGAGCTATGACAGCAAGTTTTAAGTTACTTATTGCTTCTGTGTCACACTTGATCCTTCACTTGCTAATTGATCCCCTGATTTCAAAGTAAGAACAAATTCTAAATTTCTTACCTATATCTAGAGGTCAGTGTGGATACTGACAAACCTGTCCAAATACTATTTAAAACTCTCTTTTTATATCCCATAGTTTGCTATAAATCAGGAGTAGCAGCATGGAGTGAGATGGTTGATTTGTTTGGATCCAGTGACAGAGAGAATGGAATCCTGTGCAAAAGCGGCTAAGAGCAATAGAAATCGTGTGGCGATTGTTTATGCAATGTGTGTGTTTAGTAAACAAAAAGACTTTAATATTTACATGGAGAGACATAGACGATTTTAATGTGGGATTTTCCTGCTTTCCATTGATTGGTTAAAAAATAAGAATCTTCAATGTATATTCTGTACTCACCCTTGTTGTGGATAGCCCTGGCTTCTATTTTGATGCTAATTCCTCTCTTCAGGGAGTTAGTTGATGTGGACAAAGAGTGAATCCTCTTGTGAACCTTCTCTCCACCTTAACTGGTAAAATAAAGGCTAGAGCCAGTGATTGGGCAGTGGAAGGGAAGGTGGAGCTGAAAAGTTTGGTGGAGAAGAAGCAGAGGAGGGAGAGGACAGAGAAGGAAAGAAAATGGAGGAAGAGCAGGATGACTCAGATTCTGTGTGGCATTAAATAGCCACAGGTAGCTATGAATTTGATGTAAGAGATGGATAATTACAGGACAATTTGTAATATCTAGGTCGGTAATTTATATTCTTATCTATTGGCTCTGAAATTATTGAGTGGGCATCTTGTGAACTGAGAATTTATTGATATATAAATCTGACTGATTAATTATAAGCTTCTAGAGTTTTGATTTACTGGGTTAAGGGGATTTGTGTCAACTAGCCACAGGAGGTAGATAGCTGAGAAGTAACTGGCTCTGAGGCAAGCTAACTCAGAACTGAGAAGACTGCTGTGATGCTGCCTGGGTCTAGCCTAGAGGCAGAGGCAGCAAGACCACAGGGGCAGAGAGTAGCTGGGTGTAGCACGGGAACTTGGTGTCTTATTTAATATTTCCTGGAACACATCCTAATACACAAATGTTAGTCTACCAGTTACATATACTCAGGCTTGCCAAGATTTTATTCATGGATTCCTTGATAAACCACCTTGAGAACTTTGGTTTTGTTTTTTAACTTTTTATTAAGACTTAGTGAGTTTCACATCATGCAGCCCAGTTCTCCTCATCTCCTGTCCCCTTATAAATGTTCTTCGCTTTTGCAACCTCCCCCACAAAATAAAAAATACAAACTAACAAACAAAAACAAAAGCATAGAAAACATCTGGTTATGGAAACTGTAGTGTGTCAGTGTGTCCGACAGTATATCCCGCTGTCCACACATCTTCACTTGCAAATGTCCATGGCAATGAGTCATTGGACTGGTACAAGATTTCTGGCTTCTGTGACACCATCAACCCTGGATCCTCATCTGGCCTCCTCAGGTTATCCTGTTGTTGCTCTGTGTCATGGGGATCCTATCAGTTTGGATCAGCAGGACTGGCCCTTTCAGGAATCCCAACCATTTGCAGTTGATATAGATTTGGGGGTGGGCCACCTCAGAGCCTTGGGTCTGGGCCTGGGTGATAGCTGAGCTGGTCCCCATGCCAGCTCTCCCTTATGGGTACCACTAGGGCTAACTCTCCAGCATTGCTCTGGCTAAGCCACCCAGTACCTCCATCAGCAGGAGGCAGGGTCAGATCTCCTGCCTTCATGCTCTTGGAGTCAGCTTACACCCCCACTCCCCACCTCCCCCACCATCTGTACCCGTATTACCTCCATCACCAGGCCAGCTATATTGTTACTGAGTCATGACTTGGGGCCTACTTTCCTGAGCACTTTAACTAGTGAGGGGCAGTGCCAGTTCACCCTCTCATGATCCCAGGGCCAACTCTCCAGATTGCTACACAGGTAGTGAAGGGCGAGGGGCTAGGGCATTACCCCTGCATACAAGCTGCCCCATGACAGATGAGTGGCAGGATCAGCTCACTCAGAGACTCCTTTGTGGGATGCCATTTATCAGTGGCTACTTGAAAAACGTGGTATCACTAAAACACATTGAAGTGGGCTCCTGGGTCCCCAGGGATCATGGGAGTGATCACAGGACTTTGTTTATTGCCTTGCTTGTTCTTTGGCTGTTTGTGTTTATTGTCTTGCTTGTTCCTTGACTATTTGCATCTATTATATTGCTAGTCCTCAACCTAGAACTGACCTTAATACCTGCATGTAATTAAAATAGTATAAAAGCAAAATGGAGGAGGGGGGATGGGATAGGGGATAACATCTGAAATGTAAATAAATAAAATATTCAATAAAAAAGATTAAATAAAAAGGAATAAAAAACACATTGAAATAATCACTTGTGTAAAGAAGAAATCTTCTTCAATGTCTAAACCTGAAGCTTCAAATTACTATCTTCTGTCTCTCTTGCCCATATGCAAGACTCAGTAAGTTATTCCATAAAGCAAGAACTTTTTTTCTAATCATGGTTTGTAGGAAAAGGGTTTCCATGATTTAATTGATCAAACATGGTAGGGATAAGGTTTTAAAATTTTAGCATTTGTACTTTCATACAAATCATTAGACTTATAAAAACTGTGGCATAGAATTAGATTTCTGTGATTTAATATAATATGAAACAAATTATAACAATTTGATAAAGCCAAAGTATAATTTTAAATACTTCAATTTTTTATTATTTTCTTTTAGATTACCCAACTCCTAATGTCAAAGACATTTCTTCATATGAAGGAAAGCATTCAAAAGAAATTACTCTGACTGGATTCAATTCTCCCTTTAATGGTCAGTTAAAAACTCTCTATGAAAATAATGCTTAGTGTCTCTAAACTACAGTGAATTAAAAATTATTTCATTTTTTTGAGATCATGATATAATCACATCATCTCAACTTCTCTAGTCTTCCTCTAAATCCTCCCAAATACACCTCCTTTCTCTCTTTCAAATTCATGGCCACATTATTTATTAATTGTTGTTACATTCATTTAAGTATACATGCATATATTACTAATATAACATTCTCAGTCTTTATGTTACTAGTTTGCATGTTTCCAGTATTGGCCATTTGGTATTGGGTAGCCAATCAGTGTGCCCCTCCCTGAAGACAAACATTCCCCAGTGCAAACATTTCTCAGTTGCCTGTAGTTCTTCACCTAGGATTGAACCCTCCTGGGCTTCCAGCAATCCACATTAACACGAGCAGTTAATTTCTAATCTTTTCTTCCCAGGAGAACTAATCTATGTTGTTGTGTGTATGGTAGTTACCTGTGGAATTCTCTTCTTGGTGATGCTCAAGCTAAGGTAGGTGAATGCAACTCAGAAGAGAGGGAGTGGACAAAATCCGGAACTTGGATTGAAGGTTAAATATAGCTTTATGTAGGATAAGTCTATGGACTTTCAGTCTTCTGTGTAAGGGAAAATGTGACCACAGGGGATTCATTTTATATTGCATTGCAGTTACATATGGATTATGGGTTCTTTCCAATTATAATCTTTATCAATCTATTGCTTGAATTTCTCTACCGCAAACTGAACTGTGCTGTTTGCAGTTCACTTATTTAGAAAACTGATCAACTCACATAAGTCATGTATTGTATGATTCAATTACATTTACCTGAACACATATCACTGTGGTTTCTTATATACTGATAAGTTTTGTTCAAGTTTAAATAAATATTTATTGAAAGACACATTCAATGAGGTCTCACACCTACCCATAAAAAAGTGCTATTGTCTGTACTCTATGCAAATTCTTTCCCTTACCTTAGCTGTGTTCATTGCCAGAATATGTTGATTTTTATAGCTTTAAATCCCAGGATTTTAAAATATTTTAACTTATTTAGTATTGAAAAATAGATAACCTGCTTACCTTTAATTGAAAAGGACAACCTCATATGAAGTAGCATGTTCACTTGCTCAATAATTATACATGTATGCATATGTATATTTAGTTTGAATAGCATACTTCTTTATATGTGTTTCTCTTTGACAATTGACTACAAATGAAAGTTTGCTCAGTCAACTGCCCAGTACATGTACACATATTGCTGCCCCAGAAGCAAGCTAAAAAATATAATTACAGGACTTGACAACTAGGCAGGTTATATATATATATATATATATATATATATATATATATATATATATATGTATATACCTGAAGTGACGATGTAAACAGCTATAGTGAGAAGCCAGTAGGTGATGAATGAATGCTTTGCCTAAGGACACTCAAATTTCTTTATTTTTAAATGCAACAACAGTTTAAAAACTTCTTGACTTCAATGCTTCTAAATGTTTAACTTTTTCTAAACATTTAGTTTAACATCTACCAAAATCAATACCAAAGCAAAGTGAATTCTCTAAGACTTTAAGAATTGTCCAAAAACATATTCTATGGATTCCAATGTATTTTTAAAGTCCAAATAGTAAAAATCAATATCTAAGGAGAGAATTACACAGTTAAGTGACTATCCTTTACATGGTTTAAAAATATTTGGAAACACCTCTCAACTATTCTGCTTGTTTTATTAGTTCATGACAAGAACACTGATTTGAAAAAACATAGTTTGCTATCCCAGAAAAACCCATACATAGACGAGATGACTCTTGACCTTCACTTTTTAGCCACATGCATCATATGAAGTTAGCATTGGCTAAATGGGCTCAAGAGGCCTCACATACAAAATGACACCACACAGATAATATGTTGGAGTTCCCCATGAATTTGACATAATTTTACCTCTGTTTTTACTTGAGCAAAAATGCACGGTTTTTCACTAGAGGACAGAAAGAGTGTTATTATTAATAATAATAATAATATTATTATTATTATACACAAAGTCTTGAATTTACTCTAATATATATTTATTGATTTGTTCTTTGGTTTTTGAGGCCCTGGAGATCTTAAACAGTCTGCTGCATGCTAGGCAATAGCTCTACTGTTGGGTCACAGATTTGGTTGTAATGCATATATTTAAGATAAATGATTCATACTATTAAGTAAAAAATATTTTCCACATAATTTAAAACTGTGTTATGTAGTAAGATCCAGAATTTTTAAAAAATTCCAAAATCAAAGGCATCATGAACAGAACAGAATAAAACATAATCAGCAACAAAACTTCCTTTACCTATGAGCTAGAATTAGAGAATCCTCCTAACAGATTTCAGTCACATATACCCAACGGCCAGTATAACCATGTGGATACAAACCCTTAGTCAATATGAGGAGTTTCACACATGTTTTATATAGTCTTACTAAATTAAAATACCCTGTCTTAAAATAAGTTTTTAAGAAACATAGTTGAAAACTTACTTACATGAAAATAGTCCATTAAATAAGATTATTTGGAAACCACAGTAAAATATATGATAGTCCTTAGAAAGCCTTAGAATATACTACTCTTGAAACTTTATTCTCAGTAACTTCATTATCCCCATCCCTCAACAAAGACACCACCCCCAAATGCAAATTTATAAGGAGCTGACACTGGTGTCTTAACAACGTCTCTTATTTTCCTACAGGATACCAAGTAAAGAAAGAGATCCTTCACCCATCGAAACGCCTGGAGGTGTCATCATTCAGTGAGCTGCAGATCACTATCAACCACAAGTCTGTGTGGCTAACCAATGGAAAATTATATTTGCCTATAATCTGATTTAAGATGGATTTGACAATGTTTAGTCATTATCTATAAAAATGCCTGGTACAGTAATACAGCATAATGATCACAGGTTTGTTTTTTGTTTTCTTTAAAAAAAATTGAGTAAATACTTGTAGTGGTGTCATATGGTAACATTTTCTTTAAAGGTAACAGGTGTCATGTAAAATGTGAATTTTGATGAAAGACTACCTACCAGTGCACATATTAACTTCTATCTTATAAGACTTATCATAATTAGTGTGTTCATTTTTCTGAACAATGTTTCCCATTATGTTGGTAAAATTAAAATGCTAATTAGAATGTTGAGTGTATTTGCATATTCTTACTTCATGTTCAATCACTAAACAAATTGGTAACATTGAACATATTTGGTTATATAACTGCTTATAAAAATAAAAACTGACATCCTAAAAATTTTATAATTTAAATTGTATTAAATTTTACTTTTTGTTTGTTGTGTTAATATCTGTAATTAGCATGAATTTAATCATCATGAAATAAAGACATACTTAAAGTGCTATTTTCTGTAATTTTTCTATATTGCTACTTTGGTCTGGTTTGTCATCAATATAATTGTGCTTAGGAAATATATTTACCAGTTAATGAATATATATTTTACAAATGCATGCAATCATATTGGCATTAATAATTCAGCATCTTAAGGTTGGATAGTCACACAAAACATAAATATTTAATAGCCCGAAGACACCATCCTAGTAATTAAAGATACATTTGCCATTGAAGGTCAGATATATTCCTCTTGCTTGGTCTTGTATTTATTAAAGTGTCTATATTAAATTAAACTTGAACCTAACCCTTGGTTCTGTGTATTTCAGACAACTGAAAAGCAATACTTCACATTTTAAAGAAGGCAAGTCAAACTTGGTAAATCACAAATAACTGCAAAGGACTGCTCATTCAGCCTAGTGTGGACCTGCTGCTAAGGGAGTGCAGGGATTTCCACCTTTCAGTTATTGCTGTCTAGTGAAGACTTGCCGATGTCTGCAGAAGTGGAAGCACCTCTCTGGAAAGGAATGTTCTGAAAAGAATGTCAAGTTGCTTTTAGGAGTATTTTAGTTCAACAAAATTCCCTCAGGCTTTCCTGAGAAATTAACACTTACCAGCTAGATCTCAGAAATGTCTCTTGAGAAAAAGTTTAAGACAGAAGAAAATTGAGGATTTTTTTGGCAACCTCAAAGCTGTGGCTCATATGTGCTTCTTTTTGTTTTGTTTTCATAGTCTGCATCCTAATGTCACCTATGTCAAAATTAATACAAATTAGTGATAAGTATAAGATATCTTCTTTTTTATTTTTTAAACTAATCACAATGACAAGCATAGCAAACAAAAATAAAATCTAAAGGACAGTGTCTGAAATTCTTTTAGCACCCCTATCAGACTGGTTTGCTCTTTCAATCTCCACTGCCCTTGTTGGACCTAAGGATCCAAAACCAAGGGACGCACTCCCCAAGAAACACTCACAGATGGGATTCTCTGCAATAACATGAGGTTTATTGATAAATTGATAAAAAGCAATGCACTGGGATTCTCATGCATGCAGGCAAGAAGAACCCTGAACTAAAGCTAAGGGCAGTTTATATATTATTCTCACAGAATTCACAAGGACAGTTAATTACTTCTTAAACAATAACCATAAATATTTTAAACAGCCATTCACAGGCCCGGTTTCCATTCCCAGGCCCTGGTTTCTAAGTAACTCAAATTTGCATCTTATCTTTTACAACAAAGAGGGTTAGCTTCTGTTTACCCAGATGTACTGTGTTAAGGGCCTGGCTTCCTGATTACCCCTTATCTTGAGCTTTTCCTCTGGAATGTGTGCTTTCCCAGGATGTGTCCTGGGGCAGTTAATTCTTGAGTTTACCAAAACCTGAGATTCTTGAGACCTGAGATTCTTACATTTAAACTGAGATCTGAAATTACATTCTAACATCCTCAGAATTTAAGGTAAGAACTTTTAGTGTTAGATATTTAATGGCTCTATGTTCCTGGTGGGCATGCTCACATCTTTGCACCAGGCCAAGAGCTCTGGATTTACAAATAAAAGCAGTGTTATTTTTAATATGCCCTAAGCTAGTTCAATGCCTGGGCCATTCCTGAGCCTCCATGTGGCTAACACACTCTCCCCTCCAATATCTTGAGTTATTATTTTCTAAAATCTATTCTTTATTTCTGTTACACCAGACTCAAAAGGGGCAGTGGCCACTGGGGCCACTTTTCTCTGATTCTCACATGGTAGCTTCTCTGTCTTTCGCAGTTCTCATGTTTGTATCCTCTTCCTTTCTTCTTCCCTGGTAATTCCTTTTTCCTTTCCTGCATTTTCTTGCCCGGAATCTTCAAAGTTGCGCCTCAGTCCACCTGTCCAGCCATTGGCCACTGGTTCTTTACTGATTGACCAAAGAACCAACTGTTGGCAGGGACCAACAGTGGACAAAAAATTTCCACATAAGCACAAATCAAATCCCCAACAAGAAGTAGCTGAACTAGAAAATGTGGTACATTTACACAATGGAGTACTACTCAGTTATTAAAAACAATGAATTCATGAAATTCTTAGGCAAATGGATGGAACTAGAAAATATCATCCTGAGTGAAGTAACCCAATCACAAAAGAACACAAATGGTATGCACTCACTGATAAGTGGATATTAGCCCAAAAGCTCACAGTACCTAAGATACAATGCTTAGACCACATGAAGCTCAAGAAGAAGGAAGACCAAAGTATGGGTACTTTGGCTCTTCTTAGAAGGAGTAACAAAATACTCAACCAGAGCTCCCAGAGTCTAATCCTCCAGCCTGGAAATGCAAAGGGAGGGACTCATGGCTCCACTTGTATAGGTAGTTGAGGATGGCCTTGTCAGGCATCAGTAGAAGAGGAGGGCCTTGGTCCCTGAAAGTCTGGATGCCCTAGTGTTGGGGAATTCAAGAGCAGGGAGGCAGGAATGGGTGGATGGATGGGGGCACACCCTCATAGAAGTAGGAGGAGGGGGGATGGGATAAGGGTTTGGGGGGGGGGATGGGAGAGGGGATAACATTTGAAAAGTAAATAAATAGAATATAAAAAAACAGATAATGGAATTGGCAATTGAAGTTGAGCAGTTGAGACTTTTGGTCAACAGTTTATTACAGGGATTCCTTATAATCTTCAAGGACAAGGTATTGTGGAATGGAAATTTAAAACAATATCTTCATAACATAAAAAGTGGGGAGATATAAAACCAAATACCACAAATTTATTTAAATCATACTCTTTTTATTTTAAATTAAAAAAAATTTGGATGCCAAGGAACTTTCTGCTGAGTGTCTATGGCACCCTTCATCTAGGCATACTTATGCCTAGGTGAAAAAGAAGGATCCACTTACAGGCATATGGCATGATCCTGACCAAGTATCTAATATGGGGAAGAGGGAATGTTTGTGCTTTTTCTGCAGGATGCTGAAGGAGCATGGTGGCTGCCATAATGATTGGCAAGACATCCTGTTTCTGAGACAAAGAATGATGTCGACCTCTGAGCTTGATGAGTACCCTAACAAGGGTGACTGGGAAGCTGTTTTGGACATATGTTCCTGACCCACCTTTGCTTGCCTATATCCAAGATGGGACAAGCTGCCTTGCCTCAAGTTTTTAGACCTTGTGGGACAGAGAATCAAAAAGAGAAATTATAATGACTCTTGTATTTTTCTTAAAGGTAGCTAGTTATTTGGACTCAATCATGTACTGGTCTAGAAATCAATCCAATATTGGAAATAACAGTCTTCATTTGGAAGTCTGGATCTGGACATTTTCAGAGACATATTTGGAAGTTAGATGTAGTTCTCTATGATGTTATGATAGCAAGAGATAAAGTTGGGACAGGATCTGCATTTCAAACAAGGGTTAGTGTAAGTTTTAAGGCTCTTTTAATTGTCAAGTTAAAATTGGTTTTGTCTCTTCTACAGCATTTATTGTAAGTTGCATTAACTGTACACTTTCTAATAGTGTTAGTGTGTTGAAATCTGGCATGTCTGTTATGGGAGTCTATCAACCAGCTTTTGTCTTACTGCTCAGAGTATTAGAAAACCTTGATTCTCTGTAAAAAGCTTAAAAGTGCTGGAAGAAGTGAGTTAGGGCTGGGCAGTGGTGGCACACACCTTTAATCTCAGCACTTGGAAGGCAGAGAAAGGCGAATTTCTGAGTTTGAGGCCAGCCTGGTCTACAGAGTGAGTTCCAGGACAGCCAAGACTACACAGAGAAACCCTGTCTCAAAAAACAAACAACAAAACAAACAAAACAAAACAAAAAAAGAAGTGAGTTAAGCTTTAAGTAGAAGCAAGAGAGTAGTGGCCTTGATTATTGCTTGTATAACAGCTTTAATTTCATTAATTTCTAGCACTACAGCTTCTGCAATAGCTTTGACACAAGGCGTTAAGACAGCTATTTTTGTTAACCATCTAGGAAAAAATGTATTGAGGATACAAAAGGATTTATATAGGTCTGGAATAATGGACTGATGCTCTATAGCCAATTCAAATTATCTGAAGGAGGTTTAGGGTTCAAGAGTTAGGAGTCATCTCAAGGGTCATGACAAATACCATTGGAGTAGTGTTACTTCTAAAATTTTCAATGAATGTCATTATAATTAGACAAAAGTTTAAAGATACCTGTAGGGTATTTGGCATAATTCTAACACCTCTCTGGGTATTTTAACTTTTCATAGTGAGATTATGAATTTAAAGAATGCTGCACTATTAAGCTTTGGTGCTGCAGATAGTGGCAATAAAATTATCCATGGCTTGAGGTCAGTATTTCCATTTAAGTCAAACCTCAGGAATGGCATATATAGCTTGATCATGCTAGCCCTTCTTGTCCTGGGAATACTTTCACTCCTGCTCATCATGTTAAAACTTGTCTCTAACTACATCAACA